GCACAGAAACAGCCCTCCAGCCGAGTATTGGCAGAGATTCAGATCCTTTCCTCCTCAAGACTCAAATCCCTGGGCAGGGCACACGGGCTCAGTTTCCTCCTCTGTAAAATGGGGTATAGTTGCCCCTACATCACAAGGTTTGTGCTCAGCTTGAGTCTGTGTGTCCTCAGATCACCCATTCTCTGCTCTGTCCCTGCGCAAGACCTCTCCCTTGTCCACTGGCTTCTGCCCAGATTTCTCCAGTGGTCAGCACTGAGGGTAGATCAGAAGGCAGGAGGATGGGAGAAGCCAGGATGTTTCTCCCCAACTGCTCCTGGTAGCATCTCCCACTGGACACATCCCAATGTGCTAATTTCTAAATTAAATCTCCTCTAGTTGAGGTACTTCTATTTTCCTGATGTAAGGCAGCTGTGAGGGATTTTGTTTAAGATACAATTTGGTTACATTAAAGTCTTTCCATTTCAGTGTATAGTTATGCAAGTTTCTACAAACATATATAGTCACATAACCACCAGCATGATCAAGATATAAAATGGTTCCGTCAGCAAAAAATTCCTCGTGCCCTTTTGTGGTCAAATTCTCACCCATCCTCAGGTTCTGCCAGCCACTGGTCTGTTTACTTTTCCTGTAGTTTGGCCTTTTCTAGAACGTCATAGAAATGGAATCATACACCATGTAGCCTTTTGTATCTGGCTTCTTTCCCTCATTCTAATGCACTTGATATTCATCTGTGCTGTTATAAATCACTAGTTCCGAACTAGAAGTTAGTTCCAAATATATTCCTGTGTGGTCTTCCGCATAAGGATGGACTGCAGCTTGTCTGTTCATTCCCTAGTTGAGGTAGCTGCTGTGAGCTTTTCATGGGTTGATATTTGCAAAGCTTTTAGGACACTAACTGGCACAGTCAGTATATATGTGTCGGCTGTTACTATGATGCTGAGTGGGGGAGCTTGCTGAGAAGTGGGACACTGACGCTTCCCTATTCCTTAACAGTGCATGCCTCACTCGTCCAGAAGAGAGAGCCCACCCTTCCCAGGCTGGAAGGGCCAAGACCGCATCTGATACAGATGTGGCAGGGACTGGCCTCCACCAGGAGCCTCCCAGCCCATTCCTGAAGCTGAAAGTGAGCCCCTAGCCCATGGACAGAGGAGACGAGGCCGCTGCCTCCCCAGTGCCTGCCAAGATCAGCATCTGGAAAGCTTCTCTGCAGCTGGGGCCCCTTCCCCCAGTGCCGGGTTGATGATGAGAAAGTTGGGACCTGTCTCAGACACTTCTTTTTATGCAGTTTCTCTTGCCAAAAGCCAAGAGCTGGGGGTTGGGGGACAGTGGAGGCCCAGGGTGGATGGAGGATAGGCCTGGGCCTCGTTGCTTTCAGGAAGTTCACAAAATTTGGGATGGGGTGGGATCAGAGATCAGCGGATTCTCCTCACCTGGATTACATCTCACCAGTGACCCATGTGGTCCTGAGTGGTAACCATCACCTTTCTGACCCTCTGGGGCTGGGAAGGGGGTCACTACATCAGGACTGGGGTGAGGACTGGGGATGAACAAGTTCAAATGTTCCCACTACTCTGTGCCAGTTTCTTCATCTTTAAAATGAGATGAGGTGAAACTATGGAGACGATAAAAAGATCAGGGGTCACAAGGGATTCGGGAGAGGGGAGGTGATAGGTGGAGCACAGAGAATTTTTATGGCAGTGAAACTCCTACTGTAATGATGGATACATTTCATTATATGTGTGTTCAAACCCATAGAATGTACAACACCAAGAGTGGACCCCCATGTAAACTCGGGCTTGGAATGATAATGATGTGTTAATGTAGGTTCATCGATTATAACAAATGCACCTTTCTGGTGCCGTGTTGATGGCGGGGAAGGCTCTACACGCCTGGGAGCAGGGGCTGTATGGAAAATCACTGTACTTTTTGCGGTGAACCTAAAACTGTCCTAAAAATAGTCTATTTAAAACAATGGGATGATGATTACAACATCCCCCACCTCCTAGGGTTATGAGGGTTCACAGACCCGTACCCAGCACAGAACAAGTCCTGTGAGCTTTAGCCATTATTGTCAGTGGCCCTATAATTAGTGGAGGCTGGTTTAAGCCTCTTCCTTCACCTCTATTTCCCCTCCCTGGGAGTTCTCCAAGAGAAGTGTCCTGTTTCCTTCCTCTTCTACTGTTTTCTCACTCAGGTGTCCGCCTAGAGCAGGGCCCAGCTTCCACCTTGATGCCCCCAGACTATCAGGAAGTCTAGGCTTCCAGTGTTTTCTAGTTCTCCAGCCCATTCCCTCAGCTGATCTGGTGGAGACCTCATGCTGCTCCAGAAGTGAGAGGCGGAGGCTGCTGAGGAGGGCAGAAGTTGCTCGTAGGTGCATCTGTGTGTCCCTGAGGGCATCACCTCTGTGGAGCCATAGTCCCCCTAACAGACACCGGATATATCTGTGGCCTTGACATCACCCCAACCCCCAGATCCCTTGGGGGATGGTAAACTGCTGAGCCAGCCTAGGCAAGTTGCGGTGGCGGGTGGGGGGGGCACTTCCTCCCCAGCCTTCAGGTCCCTACAGAAGGCTTAGATTTCCGCTCTGATAGCTCCCTGATGAGGAAGGGACCCAGTTTTCTCTGCGCCTTGCCCCCTGTGGGTTGAACACCTGGTTTTGAGAGGCTGCACAGGCAACATACTTCACTTGGCAGAGGATTTGGTAAGATTTTGCTGAGGTCTGAGTGGACCCCAAGGCCTGGCCCAGAACTGAGTGGACACTGAAATCTGGTCCAGAAAAAGGAGCAAAATCACTGTCTGACTTTTCTTATCTCCATGTCAAAGCTCTACTGACCCGTGTTAGAACTTTTGGTTTCTTCGCTGTCTCTTCCATCAGACTGTCAGCTCTGAATGGCAGAAACCAACAAGGCATCACCAGAGCCAGCACAGGGCATTATGTGTTGTTGCATTATATGAATATAAATGCTGTATACGTATGTATATATGTAGCATTAATCTATTGATTCTTAATATACATTTCTTTATTAAAAATGTAAACATATTTACTCTTAGAATAAGCTTGTTAATATTGGTATGTTGAATAATATTGCTAAGTTTATTAACAATGTTATTGTTTATTGATATTAGTAGTAGTAGTAGTACAGGGATGATTTTACAATTAGAAGCCTGGTGATTTATTATCTTTTGATTTTTCATGTCTCTGTAAAATTTCTGAATTGGTAATATGAGCTAAAAATTTCACAGTCCCCCAGGGTACAGCATGAAAAGTCTGGCGACTTCTCACCTGTTCCCCTGCCCCCTAGTTTCCCTCCCTAAGGGTAACAGCTGTGATCAGTGTCTTGTGCCTGTGACCCCCAGGCAAATGTGTGTATATTTATATAGCCCTTATAAATACATCCAGAAATGCAGGCAAACGAAGCAAACTGTCTACATTGTGCTTTTTTTCAACTTCACATGTTGAAAACAATTTCACGTCAGTACATATTCCATTTTAATTTTCACATGTTGAAAACAATTTCATGTCAGTACATATTCTATTTTAATTTTTTTAATAGGCGTTAATGGATCCATTTTAATTCCCTTTTTTGTCATTTTGCTTTTCAATATTCTTTATGAAGTATAATATACATTCAGAAAAGTACACCTTCCTTCTCTCTTCTTTTTATTGGTTGCATTTATTGGGTATCAAGCAGCCTTAATATTTTTTTGTTTGTTTAATTTCAGCTTTATTGAGGTATCATTGACATATAAAATTGTAAGATATTTAAAGTGCACATCATGGCGATTTGATATACATATACATTCTGAAAGAGCCCCCCCCCCACCCATCCCCGTTGAGTTAATCAATACATCCATCATCTCATTTTTAGCTGTTGGATTTGTTTGTTTGTTTGGTATGTGTTTATGTGTGAACATTTTAGTTCTACTCTCAGCAAACTTCAGTGATATCATTCAGTATTATCAACCATAGTCACTATGTTTCACATTAGATCCTCGGAACTTATTCATCTTACTGCTGAAAGTTTGTATCATTTACCACCTCTCCCTATTTCCCCAACCCCAGCCCCTGGCAACCACTTTCCTACTCTCTGTTTCTATGAGTTTAACTTTCTTTTTTAGATTTCACATATAAGTGATACCATGCACTATCTGTCTTTCTCTGTGGCTTATTTCACTTAGCATAATGTCTACCAATATTGTCCCAAGTGACAAACTTTCATTTTTTAAGGCTGAATAATATTCCACTATTTATATTTTATATACATGGAAAAATATACGCATATATCACATCTTCTTTATCCGTCCATCCATTGTGGGACACTTAGATTGTTTTCATATCTTATCTATTGTGAATAATGTTGCAGTGAACATGGGAGTGCAGACATCTCTTTTCTTTATTTTGCTCTTTTGAAGTAGAATATACGTACAGAAGAGTGCACTTACCCCCTCCCTCCTATCTGGGTATCAAGCAGGCTTACTTTCTAATTTAATTTATTGTTGGAATAGGGCATGGATGTACATGTTGCAAAAATCAAAAGGTACAAAGGATTCATAGAACGAAAGCAGCCTCCATCCCATGCCTTGTCCCCTATCTTTCAGGTCCTCTCCTGGGAAACTCACCAATTTCTTCTTCCTGCAATATTCCGGATATTCTGTGCACCGCCAGTAGAACATCAGCTCTGCAGCGGACAGGAAGTTTTGCCTGTTCTGTTCCCTCCTGATATGTCTCTAGCCTTTAGAATAGTGTCTGGAACATAGCAGATGCTTAATGTATTTGGTAAATAAATATATAAGCAGATTACGTATGCGTTTTCACAAATAGTTCCCTCCTTAAAGGTTGAAGGAGGGAAACTCAAAAACTCCACAGAAGATTGGCCCCAACTTGGAAGGCAGGGCGCAACCTGGGCCTGCTGGTCCACCGCAGCGAGAGCGGGACATCCATCCCATCGACAAAGGCAAGGTAGACTGTTTGGTGCCCCGTTTTCTAAGGGAGAAAGGACAGCACCTCAGTTCTGGGATCCTAGCAAGGCAAAAATGAGTTCTGTCTTTGGGGCAGGGCGTAGCACATGGTTGGAACTTTATTTTTTAAAAGAACACACAGTAGGCGCTTAATGCCTATTTGGGGCGTTAACACTTAGTAGGTGCTTCATGGTTCCTTGTAAAGTAAATAAAGGGGATCCCGTGCTCTCCTCCATGGTCCCAGGGATGGGCCAAGAGGATGGCTGTACTTGGAGCCAGCTATTTCAGGTTCAGGCCACCTGGCCAGGAGCGACGTGAAGTCACGGGGCTTCATGACGTCATGCGCCAGCGGGTTCTCACGGGAGGGGGCTGGGAGGGGCAGCGCAGGCGGAGGTGGAGGGGTGCGAACAAAGGGACCCTACCAGAGCCTAGCAGACCAGTCACATCTGGAATCTATTGCCGACGCCCGAAAGGGGAGGAGAGGAGGGCGGGGCTAGTGGGGGGCCAAGGCTGTGTCTCTCCCCGCCCGGCCTGCGCGCTGGGTCCCCAGCCCCGGGAAGCGGGCAGCCTCAGCCCTAGCCGCGGCCGTCCCGGGGACGCAGACGCCAAAGCCTCTCCGGCCAGGGCAGGGACCCGGGCCAGTTTAGCCAGGTGAGCGTGCGTAACGAGGGGGTGGCAGAAAGGGCGGGCCCCGTCCTCTGAAGTTCTGATATCCGAGCTGGGGATGGAGTGTCTGGCTGAGGCTCTGGGCGCTTCGGGACGCGCAAGTGTCGCTGTGCTCCTGCTGCACTAAGGAAGTAGTGCTCCTTCTCCACGACTCCAGGCAACCCCACTTCCTCGGCCGCGAACCTCCAGACTGCGCTCCCCGCCTTTCCTAGTGGCAGGAAGTTGGCGCCGAGAAGGCAGAATCCGAGAGCTTTCGGCTGGAGACTGGGAGGCAGGACTGCGAGCCTGGGGACGCGGGTTTGGGGAGTGTGTATGGGGCGGAGGGGGCCCCTCCTGGCAGACTCCAGCTGGGCGTGGGCAAAATGTGCTGTGCGACGCCGAGCCTCCAAGGCAAGGGGCAGGCCCCCGGCGGAGGGCAGTCGCCCCCTCCTGCCTGTCTGGCTCTCTGTCTCAGTTTCCTCGAGTAGTTCGTCTTCTTCAGTCTCCTCGCGAGGGCTTGGCTTTGTTCTGGAAGGAAAGGGAACGGGACTGCGTGGCTCCGACGCTTCTTTCCCTTGGGGCCCGGGGATGGGGCGTGGGTGAGGCGCGCGTGGCGCGGATCGCGCTGGGTACCGGGCTCAGCCGAGCGTCGGGGCTTCGCCCCCTCCTCCTGCACGAGTTGACTCACTCGGGGATTTCCACCCCCTCCCCCGACTCTGCCCTAGTCAGATGCTTCAGGCGCGACGCTCTGAGCCCACGGCCCCCCGCGTGGCGCGATGCGAGTGCAGAATTCGCGGTGCGACTGCAGCTGAGATCGCCCCTACCACACCCCCTAAGTCCTCCGGGAATATTGAGGCAGGGCCCCTTGCGGGACGGAGAGGACTCCCCCCACCCCACTTGGAGATGTGGAGGTTCGGAGCGTGCGGCTGTCGCGGGAGAGAGGAGCCGCAGCCCCAGCGGCCTGGAGTGTGGATACCGCGCATTCCACGGCCAGATAAGAAGGCCGAGACTGTGGCCCGAAGGCGGGGGCGGGTCCTGATGTCTGGTGGGGGTGGGGGGTCGCTGCCATCAGACCAGTGGCCGCTCCGGCCTCCTTTGCTGTTGTTTGGGGCTGGGCTGAGTTTAGGAGTCTCCACCTTCTGGGGCCACGGAGGCCTCGTTCATGCATGCATGCATGCGTGCGTTTATTCATCCATTCATTGATCTATTCATCTACCTTACATGTGTTCTGAGCTCCTTCTGTATGCTAGGCATCATTCCAAAGGGGCTGAAAATGGACTTGGTCCCTGGCCTCCGACACATCAGTCTACCCTGGAAGCCAGACAGAAAACTAGAAATATTGTACATTCATAATTTTCAAAATTGCCAAGTACTGTTAAGGTAACAAAGGTCAGGAATTTGAGAAAAGGGCATGCAAGGTGGAGGCACGGTAGGGGCAAAGGCTCTGAGGTGGGGGCTGCCTGTGTGGTTGGAGTGGAGTGACCCTGGGAGAGCAGTTCAGGAGTGACATTGGAGCTCTAAATTGAAAAAGCTCCCCCTGGCGGCTGGGTGGGGGCCTGACAGCTGAGGGGAAACCAAAAGAAAGGGTTGAGGGGCTGGCTGTCCTAGGGGAGAGGCATGGGATCAGTGAGTGACCACCGGGAACCATAACCACAGGGCCTGCCTCAGTGGAGCTTGGGGGAGGTGCTCCTGGAAGCCACTGTGCTTCCCATCGCCTTCCTGCCTCCTAATCTCCCCTGAACAGTCTTCGTCTGTCTCTCTTCCCTTCCCTCCAAACCCTGTGACTTCTCCCTCTCGCTCCAGTTCTTGGTCATTCCCTGGTTCTGAACCCAATAACTTCTACTGAGCCTCTGGGAGGAAGTCAGGGCTGCCTTGGTGAAGGTAAAGAGGAGACAGGTCCTGTGCGTAGCTAGTTCTGGGAGCCTGGCAGAGGGAGGGGAGGCAGGCAAGGCCTGTATTTGCCTGAGGGTGACTGCCAGCCCCATCCTCCAGGCCGGCTTCTTTTCTGGGAAGCGCCAACCTGCCTTAAGCTCCCCCTTTAGCAAAGTCCTAGTGGGAAAGATGAGACAGCATGGGCCTCAGTTTCCCCTTCTCGAATGAGAAGAGCCACCCCTCCTTCTGAGGATGCCTTGACAGGCTCCTGAGGCTGCAAAAAGTGAGGGTGCAGTGCCTCCCAGGGAAGAAGACAGACTTTTTCATCAGTCTTTGGGGTTCAAGGGCTGAACCCATTCCTTATTTCTGCAGGAAAGGGTCATAAATCTTTCTCTTGGCCACCAGACTGGAAAGAGAAAAAAAAAAAGAGTGGTGGCCTCATGTCAAGAAGGGAGGGGTGGTGGCCACAGGGCAGCCCTGGGCTTCTCACCCCACTGGCAAGGGTGCTTCTCAGGCCTGTGACTGGTCCTTGATTCTTAGTTTATAACCCCAAGTGGGGCCCAGTAGGCCAGGGCAGCCTGGGGTCGTCTGGTCTGGGTGTGACCCGGCGGGGTCAGGCTGCAGTTCAGACTCTCCTCTGGGACATCCACACTGCCTTAACTCTCCTGGGAAAGAAGCGAGCTCCAGCTGCTTAGAAAGAACCAGCCTATTTGGGAGTGCTAGCTGCAGAGCACCCCGAAATAGGCCAATCAGATGCCGAGGATGTAAAGCTCAGGCCAAGGCGAATTACTCAATGCCTTGGGATTGAAAATTAGCCATTCCTGGCGCGTACTGTTTCTGGCTCGAGGCTGGTCTAGTAAGGCCAGGCCTGGGCCAAGTCAGCCCAGGGCGGACTGCAGCAGGCAGAGGGCATCAGGGTGCCCTGTCCATCCAACAGGGAAACAAGGGGCCTCTGTGTAGCGATCTGGGCGGGGTGGCAGTCCTTGGGGATGCGCACAAGCCCTTCTCTGTTCCTTAACTAGGACGGATGTCCCTTCGTCCAGGGGGAGCAGCTGCTTCTGTCTGGCTGGGGACAGAGATGGCTGAGTGACCCCGGAAGCCCCCCATCAATCCCGGGCTCACTAGGAACCTGCCTAACCAGACTTTTCTGGAACGCAGCTCCTGGCGGGCACGTGGTCCTTGCCAGGCCTTGCCAGGCGAGTTTCCAGGGACTTGGGGAGGGCTCTTCCCGTGGTTCCCCCTCTCCCATTTAGCTTGCAGCTGGAGCTTACTCCTGGCTCCCCCTCCTGAAAGGCACTAGCACCTCTGAGACCACCCCCGCCCCAAGCTGGAGGGAGGCCATGATGTCTGCCTCTCATCCTCTGCCCACGCGCCTCTTCCCGCCCCTTCCCCCAACAGCTCAGTTTTCCTTGGGGGGCGGGAGGGGGGAGGGTGACTCAGGCTTTCATGGAAACAAATACCGTCCCCACTACCCGCGAGGTTGCACGCCCCTTCACAGCTCACATGATTTCAGCACAGCTGCCCCATCCTCCTAGCCAGGACCTCCCAGACCGGTCTCCTGTGGCTCCCCCATCCCATCACCCCCTCCCAGCTTGCCCCACACCGGATGTGACTGGGGATCAAGGACTCCACCCTGTTTGTTCCAGGGGCCTCACATCTGGATTTCATCTTCGCTGGGGAGGGGGAGGTGCCAGCGCCCTGCCCTCCCCGCTGAGACCCTCTGTCCAAGGGCAGGGCTAGATGGTGCTGATGAGAACAGGCTGTTGGCAATCTTGCCTGGCTCAGTCAACATTCTCTCCCAAAAGATTGAGTGGAGAGCACCTAGTTCTGAGCAATGTGGGACAGGAAGAAGGGAGCTAAGAATATTTTTTGAGTGCTTGCTATGTGCTAATGGTACCTTGTGCATTATTCAACAAGATTTCCCCCTCACTCCTAGGAAGTGGGCTTTCTTCTCCCTATTGCACAGATGAGAACATTAAAGCCACATGTCAAGTGACTTGCCCAAGGTCCCACATCATGTCAGAGGTAGAGTGGTGTTGAATCCTGGATTGCCTTCAAGGTCGATGCCCTTGAAGATGACGCGACCTCTGGGATACTTGAACCTCAGGGCCACCCTGTTGTCTCCCCAAGACCTTATCTTGGGAGCACCCATGGCCTCAAGGCTTAGCCCCAGCCTGAAATCTAGAGCAGTGGGTGGTAATAAGCAGGGGATGGTGCTATCAGTGGTGAGCATCTTGCTGACCCAGGTTGGCAGGCTGCTTGTGGCCCAGGGCTCCAGTGTATTCAAGAAAAGAAGCAAACCCACCAGTTTCCGCCCACAGCCTGCTCTCTGGGTGGGTGGGTTGGCAAGGCTTCTGGAAGTCCACTTTGTGTCCTTTATGCCATTGCGGGGAGCTTTTGAGGGACAGTATACCCTAGACGTTATAGAGGCTTTGAAGCGGGTCTCTTTGGCTCTGCCACTTACTAGCTTTGAGACTTTGGGAAAAGTGAATTGACCTCTCTGGGTTTGCCATCTGTAAAGGGGGGATCATGATAATTCTGACTTCATGTGGTCATTCAGTGAAGAGTGATGGAGCTGGGACTTGAAACATAGCTGTCCAAAGTCAGAGCCACAGCACTGACCTGTCTGTCTATCTGTCTGTCTGTTCTCTCTGCAGCTCCGACAGCCCCATGGCCCCAGCCGGCCACTGAGCCCAACCATGGGCAGCCTGTACTCAGAGTACTTAAGCCCCACCAAGGTCCAGGAGCACTATAATTACACCAAGGAGACACTGGACACACAGGAGACACCCTCCCGCAAGGTGGCCTCGGCCCTCATCATCATCCTGTGCTGTGCCATCGTGGTGGAGAACCTGCTGGTGCTCATTGCAGTTGCCCGCAACAGCAAATTCCACTCGGCCATGTATCTGTTCCTGGGCAACCTGGCTGCCTCGGACCTGCTGGCAGGCGTGGCCTTCATAGCCAATACCTTGCTCTCAGGCTCTGTCACATTGCGGCTGACACCTGTACAGTGGTTCGCCCGTGAGGGCTCAGCCTTCATCACACTCTCCGCCTCTGTCTTCAGCCTCCTGGCCATTGCCATTGAGCGGCATGTGGCCATTGCCAAGGTCAAGCTCTACGGCAGTGACAAGAGCTGCCGCATGCTGCTGCTCATCGCGGCCTCGTGGCTCATCTCCCTGGCTCTGGGTGGCCTGCCCATCCTTGGCTGGAACTGCCTGGGTCACCTCGAGGCCTGCTCCACTGTTCTGCCACTCTACGCCAAGCACTATGTGCTTTGTGTGGTAACCATCTTCTCTGCCATCTTATTGGCCATCGTAGTTCTGTACATCCGCATCTACTGCGTGGTCCGCTCTAGCCATGCCGATGTGGCTGGCCCACAGACATTGGCCCTGCTCAAGACGGTCACCATCGTGCTAGGTGTCTTCATTGTCTGCTGGCTGCCTGCCTTTAGCATCCTCCTCCTAGACTATGCCTGTCCCGTGCACTCCTGCCCTATTCTCTACAAGGCCCACTACTTCTTTGCTTTTGCCACCCTCAACTCACTGCTCAACCCTGTCATCTACACGTGGTGTAGCCGGGACCTGCGGCGGGAGGTACTGCGGCCACTGCAGTGCTGGCAGCAGGCAGCAGGGGTGCAAGGACGGCGGAGCGGGACCCCGGGCCACCGCCTCTTGCCCCTCCGCAGCTCCAGCTCACTAGAGAGGGGCACCCACATGCCTACATCACCCACGATTCTGGAGGGCAACACAGTGGTTTGAGGGACAAGTGGGCTGACAACCAGGCCATGGCAGAGAGCTCTGTGGAGAGGCGCTGAGTGACCGTGGACAGAGATGCAGGGCTGCCAAGCAAGATGGCCCATTCCACAGACCTGGGTAATATTGAAAATATTTCACACCTGGGATGGCTGGCTGAGGCACTGACCAGTTGGATGGCAGAGCTGCAGCAGGGTCCTGGAGGCCAGTGCAATGACTGGCATGACCCCTTCAGAACTGGGTCATGGGAGGTCTGAGTGACCTGGAAAAGGCCCAGGTAACAGCGGACAGACACTCAAGAGTTGCTCAGGGCAGGAGCAATTTACAGCCTGGTACAAAGAATTTCATTTCATGACTGTCTGATCCTCCACCTTGTGCCAGACTTCTTTCTCTGAATTTACCGGCCTTACCACCTTCTCCTGGAAACCTCAGGCCCACTTCCATGTAACCACTGTCCTGGGGGGTTGGAGGCCTCCTCCCTGCGTGTCCAGACGGCCCCAGCTAAGTTCCCAAGGCCCAAATCCACAGCTTCCTCAAATGTCACCAGCTGCCGTTTGGGCCATTTCTTCCCTTTCTTCTTAATCCACGAGATGCCAGGAAACCATGGGGTGGATGTTGGGGGCTGGACCGCATTTGCATACCTCATTGGCCAATTGCACTGTTTGGGGTGCAGATGAATCACCAAGGGCTGGAAAAAACAATCTGGGGTACTGAAGAGGGCTCTGGGTCTCTCAGTGACAAAGGGTAGAACTTGAGAAAGTTCTAGGGAAGCTGTTAGCCCAGGACCCTTCCACCCCCTCAAATAAAAAAAACCACCCCCAAGCTACACCCACCTCCAGCCCCAGCCGAGGTACCAGATATCCCAAAGCAGGGCAGCCTTGAGCTCACTGTGCCTCCTTTCGAGTTGTATTGAACAGAGCAGGGAGTGGGGATGCCGAGGACACTTGTGGGGTCTCTCCTCTCAACTGCCCCAGAAGGACTTTGCTAAATCCTGTGGATAGGTAGAAGGGTCATTGCGGTACAAATGTATATTTATGTGTGTCTGTCAATGTCCGAGTGTGTGTATGAGTGATGCCTGCAACCCCCTGTCCCTACCATGTTTCCCCAGAATGGATGCTGTTCTGACTCCTCATGTTTGTGTTGACGTTGCCAAAGAGGGGAGAGGCCTGGCCCTACATGGACCCCGTCATCGCTGGCTCATCTCCTCACTTGAGAGCGGGACTGCAGCTCACCTTGGGGAAGGAAATCTCATGCCTCCAAATGATTTCTTGTGAATGCAAAGGTGGGGGGGTCTCTGGGGGGCAAGGAGCCAGTCGGGGGCTTGTCTCCCTTCATTCAGCTCCCCAGATGCCTGCTCCCCCACTGCCCCATGCCTGAGACCAGGCCCAGGCCAATAAACGGTTCAATTTCTCTTTCTGATGCTTGTTGTCTTTTTAGGCTTAAGGTGGCAGTACCCCCATTAACACCCTATAGCTGGGGGCAGATGAGACAGGGGAGTGTGGCTTCCACCCAGGCAACTCACCCTTTGTCAGTCTTCCCATTCGGTGTTCGCACCCCAGCCCAGTCCCGCCCAGGGCAGGATTGCAGTGGCTTCTGAGAAAATGGGGTCAACGTCAGCCTTTCCCCAGAGCAATTGTCCAAGACCTCCCTACTTTCCTTCAAAGAAAGAGTTGGTGAGTGGTGGGGGCCCCCTTCTCCATCCCAAGTATATGTCCCTCTCCAGATCTTGGGGAACATGGGCCCAGATGGCTCCAGAGTTCAGTATTCCCCAGAGGAATGGCTGATCTTTATCAAGCACTTTCCAGGCACATAGATGAATCCTCAGGAGGTATGGAGATGTGGGTTCAGAGAAGTTAAGTGAGCTTCTCAGGGTCACACAGCCAGTTGGGGCAGCGCCTGTCTGGATTTGAACTCGGGTAGGCTGACGAGATCCTGCCAGCTCCACCACTGAGCTAGAGGAAAGATCCTCAACTTCCTTTGCCGTGATAGTGTGGGCTGCCAGCTCCAACCAGCCCCAGCCAGAACCAGGAGAAGCCCATATGGGATGAAGTTGGGTGGTGTGTTCCTAGCTCAGCTCCAAGTGATACCCTACTCCTTTGCCCAGGGGCACAGGGCCCCTGGCTCCTTTGAAGATCTGAAGCTTTGACTGGGAGCACAAGGCCCCAAGCTGAAGCCTCACCCAGCAAGACCAGCACAAATACTAGGGCAGCCAGTAGGAGAAGAGTGGGGCAGGCAGCATCCAGAGGCTGAGAGGCCTGCACCCCGTCGGAATTCCCCTAACTCAGCGTTTCAGAGACAACTTCTGTTTGGAAACCTGAGCCCTAGCTGAGATTGGGAGGAGGAGTAGGCACAGGCCAGGCCGGAGTTAATAAAATTTCCCCAAATACCCTTGCGCTTCCTCTGTCTCCTCTTCAGGCCTATGCTCAAATGCCACTTCCTCAAAGACTCCTGGCCTGACCGCATTCTTCCCTCTCTATCTAGCCCCTTGCCTGCTTATCACCTTGCAGTGTATTATGTATCAGTTTATCGCCTCGCCCGCCCCCGTTAAAATATAAACACTTAGAAGATAGGACTGCATTCGTCTTATTCACCACTGTGTCTCTAGCATCTTAAACAGCACTTGGCATGTTCCTACCACAGGGCCTTTGCATCTGCTCTTCCATCTGCCTGGAATGATCTTTCCTCAGATATCTTTGTGACTCCTCTCTCCTCCTTCAGGTCTATATTAAAATACCACACCTGGGCGAGGCCTCTGGCCATGCCGTGCGTGCGTTTCTTGTCCTATCTGCCTCCCTTGCTACTCTCTAGCATGCAACACATTTTGCTTCATCCTGTTTATTTTCTATCTCCCCCTTTAGAATGCCAATTCCACAGCAGCAGGGGTTGGTGTCTATCCTCACTGCTTGGCCCCCGAACAGCGTCTAGCACACACCAGGTGCCTAATAAACGTTTGTCGAATGAAAGCAAAAGTAAATGATGATCATTTCAGTGAGTGTGAAGTGCTGTGAAGAAAATAAAACGGGGGAGCGACAGTTTTCCGGTACTCTGTAGAATAGGTGCTCTCACCAGCACTCTGACAGGTAAGGAAATGGAGGCACAGAGGTCTAGTGAACTGCCAAGGTCATGTAGCATGTGAGTGGAGATTTGAACCCAGGCAGTCCTTGAGTGAAAATCGTAGTCGCAGCTGACCTTCCTCTATATCCTGGTCTGAAGACCTGCTTTGCTAATATCTCTCAAATCTTGGAGCCTAGAACAGAAGGGAACAACCCACAGGTACGCAAGATAACTTTCACCTTCCTTTTCCCTATGAATGCTGTTGGATATTAAAAAGCATCAAAATCACCTGGAAGAACCTGCAAAAATGGAGATTCTTAGGCTCTGCAGTGAGAGACTCTGAGGAGTTCTGGAGTGATCCCAGCAATGCATGTTTTTCACCAAGCACCACCAGGCATCGTCCTGGGACCATATTCTGAGAGAGTTCTAGACTCCATAATCTCAGAACTTTCTGCATTGATAGAACTCTGCCACATGTGCCCTGCTCACTCTTGGGCTATTTAGCAGTTGAAATGTGGCTAGTGTGATGCAGGAACTAGATGTCAGGAATTAAATTTCATTTAATTAATTTAAATGCAAATAGTCACGTGTGGCCATTAACTATTCTACCTTGCGCATCGCTGGTTTCTACAGCCTCTGGGCAGCTGAACTCTCTTGGCGTTATGCCACCAAGTCAATAAAAATTCATGTCTCACAATCGTTATGAATGACATGGTAGCTTCCACATTTCACTTCATGGTTTTTGGAATATTTCTTTTAATAATAACAAGATTAGCCTCACCTGCAAATAATAGGAAGCACGAAATCTTAGTAACTTATGAAAGAGAAATGGATTTCTCATATAAGAATTTCAGAGGAAATTGGTCCTGGGTGACTACTTACTAGCAGTCCAGGCTTCTGTCTGTCTACCCGTCCATCCGTCCGTCCGTCAGTTCATCCATCCATCTCCCTAAATCAATCAATCTCTCTCTCTCTCTCTCTCTCTCTCTCTCTCTCCATTAAGATGAACTGGAACTTCAAGCAAGCATAATCAGTCGAGAAGGTCTAAGGGAGGAGCTAGGGTTATGGAAGTTCTCACCTCCGTATAATCCTGAGAACCCTATATGAGAGAGCCCTACAGGAAGAACTCTATAGTAAAGCTCTATGGTTCTAATTTCCCCTTTTGTTAACTTCTTTTTTCTTTATCTAAATATCCCTCTATCTTGGCACACAGGCCAGATTTTGCATGTGGCTTGCCATGTCTACATGCTCTGGGTTGCAACTCTTTCTTTTTTCCAAATAAATCCTTCCAAATAAAACACTTAGTTGATACTATTTTTCAGTCAACACTTCTATTCGTTCACCATTCCTCCATCTGTTCATTCACCTAAGTACTTCCTGTGTTTCCTAAGAACAAGGCACTCTCCTATATAACCTCAGTGAAATTATCAAAATCAGATAATTTAGTAATCAGATCTCACCAATTGTCTCATTACTGACCTTTATAGCAAAAGAAAATCCCATACTACTTGTTGCATTCAGTTATCTTTTCAATCTCCTTCAATCAGAACAGTTTCTGAATCTTTATCTTTTGTGACCTTTACATTTTTGAAAAATATAGGTCAGTTACTTGGTAGAATGTCCTTTAGCTTGGGTTTGTCTGATGTTTTGTCATGATTACATTCAGGCTATGGATTTTTGGCAGAACTATTACAGAAGTGATGTGTTTTTCTCAGTTGGTCCCATCATTAGCCAAGTTAACTTTAATCACTTGGTGGTATCTGCCAAGTTTCTCCACTTTGTAATTAGTAAGTATCATGTGTGGTGGTACTTTGAGACTCTACAGAACAAATATCCTGTTACTTATCAAACTTTTACTCCTTTACCATCCATTCTGAGTCAATTATTACTCACTGAATATCTTTAAGAAAATCAGAAGACATCACATTTCATTTGTAAATATGCCACTTTTTATTTTAGAAAGCGACGCTTTTTAAAAAAACTTAACCACAATACCACAAATATACTTATCAAAAGTATCAGTCAGAGTTAAAATTTCCCCATCTGTCTCAGTTTTAACATTTTATTTATCTGAATCAGAATTCAAACAAGGTCCTCACGTGGCATTTAGTAAGTTAATTTCTGAAGCATTACTTGTTAAATGATAGGTTTAACTACCTATTTAACCTTGTTTAATGAGGTTTAACAAGGGTTCTTGTTTTCTTTCTTTCTTTCTTTCTTTCTTTCTTTCTTTCTTTCTTTCTTTCTTTCTTTCTTTCTTTCTCTTTCTTTGTCTCTTTCTTCCTTTCTTTCTCTCTTTCTTTCTCTTTCTCTCTTTCTTTCTCTCTCTCTCTCTCTCTTTTTTTCTTTCTTTCTTTCCTTCTTTCTCCAGATTGAGAAACCAGGTTGTTTGCTCTGGAGAGTTTCTCATAGTTTGGTATTGGCTGATGGCATCTCCTTATATCATGTTCCTTTCCCCAGTCAGATTTAAAATTGATACTTTTGGCTTCAATTCTTCATAGATGGTGCTGGAAACTTCCACCAGGAGGACATTATGTCTGTCTGTCTCTCTCTTTTACTGATGACTAAGACTAATCAGGGGGTTCAGATGTCATCAGCCTGATTCTGTCTTTGTAAATTCGCCATTCCACTGTCCCCTAATAGTATGGTCATCCATGAACAACTGTTGCCTGGACCCACTGCTGTGTGAGTACTCTTCAGAGGGTTCCTATCCATCTCCCATCCTCACATCCTGGCCAGTTTTGTCATTTGTCTACAAAACAAATGTACTTTCCCCAAATTCGGACACTGACTTCCACCACCTTTCCCTAAATATCTTGTCTAAGAATAGTAAAATCTGTCAAAAAGGGAAATTAAGTGGGGTGGATGTGATTCATTTTCAGTGGCAGTTGTGGTATAGGTGTTGAATACATTTTCTAAGGTACAAAAAAAAAAAAACCAGATTGAACGTTTGATGACCGAAGTAGACTAGGGGTGTCAACTGGCAAGTCTCAGCTGGTTTCATCATCTGTAAAATGGATGTTAATGATCCCAAGCTGGAATGCAAGATGGTATTACGAGTTTCGAAAACAGTTTGACATTTTCTTACAAAGGCAAACAAGCTTACTGCACAATCCAGAAATTTGACTCCAGGTGTCTACCCAAGAGAATGAACATGTATGTCCACACAAAGACTTTATGTGAATGCTCAAAGCAGCATTTTTCATAATAGCCCCAAAGTGGAAACAACTCAAATTCCCATCAACTATTGAATGAATAAATAAATGCGGTTCATTCATACGATGGAATAAGACTCAGCAATGAAAAGGAACGTAATACAGATACAGTAACGTGGATGAAACTTAATTATGCTAAGTGAAAAAAGC